CTGCTGATGTACTCTTAGGACTGATTACCAGATCAACTACTGCCTTGTTTTTCAAATATTAATTATTCCTGCTACTAACACAATTGGTGGACAGAGTGGACAGTCACAAGTTGATGCCGTCCCACATGGCATTCAAGTTGTCTCCATCTCTGAGCACTCTTCCCTGGGAGAAGCAGCAATATAATGTTGATTTGCATTGCAGTCTGTTTTTCTCTACAGCAGGAAAACTCTCTGATAGACCCAAGGAGATTCTTCAGTTTTGCTAGACCTCCAGGCTGATGTTGGCCAAAAAATGTGGGAATAGAGGGTTGCTATCATGGTACTGGGAGTCCCTTCATCCCAAACACAATGCAAGTACCAAGATGCTCATGAATTACTGAGAGTCCCCATCCCTGGTTTCTACCCAACAGGCAAATGCCCTGCAACTTCCCATTGTATCTTGTGGCTCAGCAAGACGGTAATGTAAAGGAAATTACTTACCTGTCCCAAGCCCCAGCCTGATTCCTCCAAGGAAATGGTTGGTAAGTTTTTCATGATCCCACACAGTCAGTTCAACACAAGCATCCTTTAGATCCGCAGTATGAAAGCCATCATACACGATGGTGTGATTGAAAACAGGGTTTGTGTCTCTTTTTATGACTCGGGTCTTTTGGTAACTCTTCTTACTGGTGTCTGGAAGCACATAGCTTTGAGAGGAGAAAAATACAGCATGTGGTACTTGAGTTTTGAATTGTTCCTATGAGGTTCCTCAGTCTAAACAAGCCTCAGTGCTGAAGAAAGGAGGAACTGGGTCTCAACATAAGAAATCTCCCCAGATTTAACGGGACATGGTCGTTATTCCCAGATAAAACTTTTTTTTTTTTGCCAAGAAAATCCATTTTAAAAGCAAACACTTTTAGAAAGGAGGGTACTTGCTTAAAATTTCCTGCTTTTCCCTTTTTTTTCTTTTTTCCAAACTGACATTTTAAATTAAAAAGCAGACATTACTTTCACATACTGCTATTTTTGTAACTTTTCATCACTTAGATGCCTAAGAGGGCATTTCAAAATGGTCAGTTTGGCTTCTTGAGCAGCAAACTTTTCTGCAGGAGAACCTGAAGAATTTAAAATATAGAAAATAGATGTTGAACACTTCAAAACACTGAAAAAATCCTAAAATCCTCTTAAAAGATCTTTAATCTTTTCTGGAACATTTGCAGCACCTTTTCCCACACAAGAGAACTGATGTTGCAGGCTGCAGAAAATATGCACATGCTAAATTCTGGAGAAGATCAAAGCAGGACCCAACCACCTGTATACCAGCTCCGGCGAGTCCCTAACAAATTCCCAAACTTCACATGCAAGCCTGTACCAAGCCAAAATTCACAACTTCTCATGAATGCACTGGGCTGAGGAGCAGGGCCCATATATTCCTTTCAGTCAGAAGTTACTGAGGCAAATCACTGAGTGACTTCATAACAGCAAAGATTTTCTTAATTTGGAGAGAAGGGACTAACAGAGGAAATTCTCTCCTACAGAGCCTAAAGCAACACAAAGGCTCTACAGTATGGAGGCACAGCTCGGTGAGCCTGAGAAAAGAGAAGGAAATACTGCTTTCTGGAGGCACAGACCCAGGATCAAAGCTAAGACCATGCTCATGCACTTACCATTTCACAAAGGAGTCAACTCCAGAAGGACGCAACTGCAGCAGGTCCTTGACATCTTTGACCCAAATGTGAACTTCCCCAGAGGGAGGATTTTTGGGACCTGCCATTTAAAAGAGAAAAACTGTCATGCCAGTCCTTATAATAGCTAACAAAATGAGTGTTGAGCCCCTCCTCTCACTCCAACACTTTCCCAATAAATCCAGAGGTGAAAAATCAGATGCAGGCTGCAGACAGTGCTAGCATGACATTATTCCTTAAACAGATGAGGCACTGCCAGTTGCATGCCTGCATAGGGGCAGTATTTCTTAATGCATGAAACCCCTTTTACCTAGGCTTCCTGGAGGGACATACTTGATAGACAAATTCATCACTCCTCGATGATCCACACCATTAACAGCAGAAAGGCTCTGAAACAGAATGAGTTATGATTGAAGAAATGACGGGTTGTATAAACATAGCAAGGCAAACAGCTTTTGAACTCAGTGGATGGCCACAAATGGACTAACTCTGATTTTGCACAGCTGGGGCAGCCCATTCTTAGGGCATCTCCTTTCTTTGTAGCTTTGATCTCAAACTCTGTCCCTTGGAACCAAAATCCTGAGGGTTCAGAGCAAGGCTGCCCAGCTGGACATAATTAAGCACCTTAGTTCTGAAAGACAAATGTCCTTTACTTTCTGAAAAGGGATCTCAAATCAGACCTCTGAACCCATAAGCATGCAGGAAGATGTACAGGCTTTTAAAAAGTGGCACCTGAATATTTACCTTTTAAGGCACAATCAGCTGCATTACCTCTACTCTGCTGTCTCTTTTTAAGGGACAATCTTTAAGTGAGTAGAAAGAGAGAGAGGCAAAGCCATGTCAGAGTTTCAGTTAATTAGTGTCAGATCATATTTATGGAAGTGTCCCTACAGATCAGTCACTTGAACAAGACCCAAGAAGGCCTGTGTTCAGAGCACTGAATACTGCACTAACGTGCAGGGCTTGTGGGTGTTTTACTGCACTTTCCTAGGTACAATTCAGGCTCTTCTGCTCCATCAGACCACCCAAAGACCTCACAGGAGTCGAGAAGTACTTCTGCCACCCCTGAAGGCTTCAGGGTTGGCCTAGAAGTGGGACTGCAGCTGAGACACACTTACTCGGGGCTTCAGTGGGTACCAGTTGAGTTTCCTGTTGCTCCAGTCCCAGCTGGCCAAGTCTATCTCGATCTCTCCCAAGAAACTGTTACGTCCCAGTGGGTCATTGTGCCAAACAGAGAGATTCAGTTTTTGGATCAGCAATACCATTTTCTCTATTTTATACTAGAGCAAGAAAGAGAAGTTAGGTTGTTCAATTTTTCCTTCTGTTTCTTTCGCAATCAGAAATAAACTACTCAAAAGTGTGAATAAGCTCTGACTGAGACACTCAAACCCACACCACATAAGCACCAGCAGACTGGTCCTGCTCTGCACATCTCTTTTTTTGTCCTGCAGCAATTCTACTACTCTGACAAAGCTTTTCTCCTGAGCACAGGGAAACCCAACTCTCTGCTCATCATGGGGCAAAACCAATATTCTTTCAAGAATTATTAGCACAGGCGCAGGCATTGTTAAATACCCCTCTAGGCTTTGATGAGTACAGTCATGTAACAGAGTCCTGTCTTCCTAGTCCCACAGCTCCTGAGTGCATGCTGAGGAAGGGAAGAAGAGAAGTCCTTGCACTGGCTGAAGGCAGTCCAGGCTGCAAGTCTCTATCCCACACAAAGATCACTGTGTGCTTTTGGCAGAGAAATTTGAGGTAACACACAGATGGGTGCAGAGAAACCTTTACTCTCTCTGCCCTCACAAACCTCAGGAAAGAGCAGTGTGGTATTGGTGGGAGGCAGGTGAAGAAGCCTGGCCAGGACGGCAGGATCTTTCCAGACCTGACCTGGTACAGGTACTACCAACACAGGTTTTCAGAGCATCCATTTGTTCTTACCCGTAACACCTCATTGTAAATAGGATTCACTGTCCTCTTCTTCACTGAAGTTTTCCTTTTACCCATTCTAGCTTTATCTGGGAGCAGGTAAGTTTTAACATACCTAGAAAAGAAAGCAAACTTCAGCTGGATACTATTCTGTATCACCAAGCTCTAATAAGCAGGCAACAGTGACATGGGAGCAAAAGACCTGGAGTTGGCTCTTTGAAGGAAAAACTAATTAAGAGACCATCTAGGATAATAACTTGGCTTGTATGTGAAGTTATAAATCTCACTGGAGATACAAAGTTGCTACCAACATTTAGAACAAGCAGCTCTCTAGGCCATATGGGAAGCCAGCAAGGCCATATACCTGTTTTTTGTTTACCTCCCCATAATTATATCATCTCTGTGCATTCAAAATAAGGGTAAAATTAGAGAGGAGGGAAGAGATGGAATTTTTTTAAGCCTTTCTCTCAGGGTTCAAATCCAAGCTTCTTTTCATCATCTTTCAAAGTCGAGATCACTAACTTCTGTGTAACTACCATTGTGTCCTTAACAGCCCTTCCTTATGGACTTCATTTTCCTACAGATATGTCTCTGTATCATCAGAGTTATTACCAAAGTGTATTCACCATGGAGAGATCAAGGTTCACAGGGATGCAGAGAGAACATACTCCAGTGATAACAGGAGCTGACTTTGTAGTGATCAAAGCTCTCTCAATCTGTTCAAGTTTAAGTCTGTGGCAGCATATTGACTGATGCCAATGGCTCCAGAACCATCAGCTAAGGAAGTCCCAGCAGTAAGCATGCACCAGAAGTCTGAAGGAAGAAAAAATCCATGATATTTAAAAAGAGAAAGCATAAGAAAAAAAAATCCTCTGGAACACAAAACTCAGGAATGTAGAAGTCACAAGGCACCAAAGCATCACTCACGGGTCAGATCTGCCTTTCTTCTCATCCACAACAGCCAAGTCCTTGCACTGGGACACATGAACCTGGAACTCCCGGTTCTTCTCATCATAGTCTAGAGCAAATTCCACGGTCCCTTGGGCATCCACACTCCCAAAATCACCACTGTAGACACTGAGCACACTGCCACTCACCTGCCAGGTGGAAAAGCAAGGTCAGTGCCAGTGACAAAGGCACTCTCTTGAGTTGGTTTCTGGACAAAGATGATGGTCTGAAAAGTGCATTCTCAGAGAAATAATCTGTAATGTGTCCTTGACACAGAAATGGGAGATATCTGCAGCTGTGCTCAACCAAGCAAGGGTTGGGAAACCCAACTAAGGGTTTCACAAGGATGTGCTATGCTAGACCAGGAATTAGAAGCATCATTCTCCTGAAAGCTCAATAAATGTAGATTTTTCCCCTAAATCCCAAATCGTTGAGAAACTGAGTCAAATATTACTTGGGGGATGGGTCACACAAGTCTCTTCCTTTTCCCTATGCTTACAGCAAGACCTGACCCAGACTCATCGCTAAGAAAGAAATATATTGAGAGAACTTGAACTCTCTGTACATGAACTTATTATTTCTGGTAGATATAATCACACAATTTTCAATCAATTTTTTTAATAGGCTAGTAAGAACCATATCACACTAGAAATATGGGAAAACCTGTTTACTATCTTGCTGCTTGTTCACAATGTGCAAAGAGATGTATGGAACAGAAATAGGTACAAGCCCTGTTCTGAAGAGCCACTGTCCCACCAGAGACGTCCTGTATACTTCTACCTGCCACAAAGGCACAGCAAAATGATGTTTCTACAGGAATAAATTAGGAGCTAGGCACCCAAGAACCACCTGCTTTCTCAGAACAAACTGCATTTGCCCATAAGCCTTGAGGTTCTCTTTTCAAGGCTTTGTCTTTCACTGGTGTAAAGTGATGACACAGCTCCAGAAAAATGAGTGAATTCTCCTTTGCACCAATAATTCATAATTCTGGACAGGATGTCATAAAAGGTAATGCAGTTCACAAAGCAAAAAATTAACCTTCTTGGCACTTTTCTGTGGTAGGTCACGAACATTTATCAAAAACTTTCTTAATTAACCCAATTCTTCCCTGTCCTCCCCTACTTCCTTTCATTCTGAATGTCTTTCTATTATAACCTACAAGAACCTGCTCAACAATCTCTCAGTCCTTGGGAGCTGCATTTGCCACCCCCTCAGAATACTCACCCCAGCAGAGAATCCTGAGCAGTATTTCTAGGAATATCTGTGTGACTTGGACACAAAAGGCTCATTTTTGGCTCCCAGACTCTCCAGACTAGGAGAAGCACTCACGTGTCCCAAAGTTAAAGGGTTTCTTTTAACTTATTTATCTACATTCATTACCTCTCCCTATTAGCATTGCTTCACATATATTTTTTAATCTCACATATGCACCTTGGAGATACTTAAAAGAGGGACATAGCAAATCCAAGCACTTTTAAGCAGCCCCCCACAAGACAGTGTCTCTAAGGAATCTTTTAAAATGTTTAACTAAACACACGCTGCTCTTTTCAGCTTTGCTTAGAAGCTGAAGCTCGCAATCATACTTTTGCTGTCCAATTCTGACTTACCTTGAATATGCTGATGAAGTGAAGGATGAGCTGGCAGAGGGCACCCGTCTGCAGTCCAAGCTCTCTGGAGCTGGACTGCAAAAATGTCACTTAACAGCTGCGTGCCTCCTCGCCTCACCTAGAGAAAAGTCCCCCCTCCCCTCCTGCACACTGCCAGGCTTTGGAGCATCCACGCTGGGGAGCAGGGGCTATTGCTTACTGTGAATTTGTCTAACTGTGACCCAGTGGGTCTAATTTGAGGTGGTACCCAGAGACACTCCTCTAACGCAAGTAAGTAATTACCCATCACCATTCTTTTAATCGTGTACGGTGCAGAAACCCAGAGGATACTCAGGAGGCCACATCATCAGTATCAGCTTAAATGCAGTGTCACTGCACCCAACAGAGACCCTCCCCAGCAAGCTGCAGGCACTCAGTACCTACCGAGGAGACAGATGCCATGTCGGACGAGTGGCTGCCCACGCTCGGCGTCTTTTTGTGCTTGTTAAGCTGGAAGCTGATTTCTGAAGCTGTGTCTGATTCAGTCTGCTCAGAAAATAACAAGCATCTTTAAGCTCTGCTATACAAGCACTTTGCAACACTAGGGAGAAAAACCAATAGCTCAGCGGAGTCCCACTAAGCTGCGAGCAGGTTAGGAGAGTGGAGGAGGGCACAGGGAGTCTCCCCAGAGGCATTCCCTCCAACCGGCAGCGAACGTCATCATTAACTGTCTCCAAGCAGAGCTGCATGCACTGCCTGGGCTCATGGGAAGGGCATGGAATAGCATGGTTAGAGACAGAGGGGAACACTAAGACTCCTTCAAGTTAGAAGGGTTGGTCTGGGTGATGGGGGGGGGCTTTTTCCTTGAGGCTTTTCTCATTTATTTATGACATAACCGAGGCATGCTCTACAGCAAGTACTGTTGGTGTCCAGGAGAAACATTCTCACAAAATCGACTGCCCTTCAGGGGATGCTGTGACATTATTCCAGCCATTTCTGGCACCTAGCCTACCTCAGACAGCAGGAGAGGAGAAGATCGGCTCAGCTCTTTGACTCTTTCAGGTTCAAGGAAGTGATGGGGTATCAAATGAGGTTTACTGTATGCTGTAGGCGCAAACAAAAAAAAGGTGTCAAGGTATTTTGTCAGAGACAGGAAAATAAAAGAAAGTGGCATTTCTGTTTAAGGACACAAGGAAAGAGGAAAAGCTTGTGCGAGGCAGCAGTGTACCACCCACTTGCCTCTAACCTCTCCCACTGAAGCTGAGCCTTTTCAAGACAAAAACTGCTTCCTAACATCATCAGTGTGTTTTCATTCAATGTGTGGACGTGTGCAAATTCCCTCCCGTGGATAATTTAATTCACTTATTACTGGCCTAAGGATGTGAATCTTGTTTGCAGCACTCTCTCTGTGTAGATTTAATTAGACTAAAACCATACAGATCTGCCTCCTCATCAAAGAAACCAAACATGCCCACAGTTTCATACCAGTACCACACTGGCCTGTACAAAACAGCTGTAAATATTTAATCTACAATTTCACCATTCCATACACCTGTCAAATACTCTTCTTGACAAAGAGGTGGACAATAACCTGATATCCAGAAGGAAAAACTCAGAAAGTTCTGTAACAACATAGAAAGAGGGCTACTGGACTGCTTAAATGTCTAAATAAAACCTATTTGTTCTATCTTTATCTTTTCTCAGTAACTCCCTTGAAGATTACTATCTTCATCCAAGAATAGTTTGTTTTTAGGAGATACATGTGCATAAACATGCATGCACACACACACACTTGTTTAGCATGTTAGCCATGATGATACATTCTTCAGTGCTCAAAATGCCCCAGAGCCCCTTTGGCATTTTCCTTTTATACAATTTACCTTCTGTATGATTTACCCTTCATTTGATATTTACTGTTTTTATTTCCAAACATGAGGCAAGCATTAAGTCTTGCCCTCTCTACAAACTACCTGTTACACTGCAAACAAGTAACTTTGTAGAGGAGGGTTTCTGAGGGTAAAGTCTGTAGCTCTAAATAAGCTTTAATAAGGGAAGTTAAATTGTGGCTGTCAATGTGAAGACCGTGCCACTGACGGGCAACACCTGTGGAACTCGACACGTGGAGCCCCTGTGCTGTGTGACACAACACTGCACTACACCATGGGGCACACACTTGGCGTGAGGCTCCCAGATGGGAAGGGGACAGTCAGAGGCAATGCAGGGTTGCCTTTTATTTGACCTGACTTTTATTTGCTTTCTTGGCCACACAGGCTGCTGCTGCCTTCATTCAGGCCCCCTTCCTTAGGTGCAACGTTCTTGGGCTTCTTGGTGCCACTGACAGGTCTCTTGGCCATGGGCTTCTTCTTCAGCTTTGCTGCTGCTTTCTTTCTAGCTCCTCTTGGCTTCTCAGGGACAAACTGCCACCATAAAGAATGTCCCAGCTGGTTTCTGGGGAGACCAGTCCAGCAAAGGAGGTCTGCTTTGGGTGAGGTGAGATGCCCAGCTGGGGTCTTCAAGCCCAGTGTGTGTGACAGGAGCCTGCGGCACGACTCACGCTGGACACAAGGTCTGGCACCTCTGATCAACCCACCACGCAGCTCCCATGACATTCCATGAGGGAGGAGGAAAGACAGGCACAAGCTTCTTTCCAACCTGAAGCCCTTGTGTGTTTTGTTGAAGACACTGAGTAACGTACCATCAATCTAGCTGCAATTTCCTGTCTCTGAAATTAATTTTAGGCACCATAAGTTCTCTAATTCAATAATGAAGCCAATATGTCATTTTCCTTGCCTGGTACAGGCACAGAAGGATCAGGGATGCAGAACTTCAGCATAATATGCTGCCTTCAGGGAGTGTAAACCAGAAAGGAGAAAGAAAGACGTTACTCACTCTCTGTGGTTGTGTAAATGTTCACCATGCTCTTTGCAAGATTAATGCTATTCTCTCGGGTCAGTGCCTGAGCAGCAGGAGAATGATCTCCATCTTCCTCTGGAATATATGAAAAGCCAAATCAACATGGTAAATAAATAAACACAAATGGGCAGGTGTGTCAACAAGCTCACGTGTGTGCCTCTCCTGGCTTGTTCACTCTGCTTAGAGCACATTGCAGTTACATTACACGGGGCTGCTTTGAAATCTTTAGTGTGCTTGAATGTCTCTCCCTGAGAATAACTCCTCACACCACAATGGGACATGTAAATACTGGATTAACCCAGTTCCTAAAACAGACCAGCACTTGCAGGGAGTTTCCAGTGCAACAAAGCCATGTGCTAATGCCATTCTGAAATGAGTATAATAAAGAAACCCTGAAAAAAAAAAAGAATTATCTGGTCTAGAGAAGAAATACTTATGTTTCCCTGAAGTGCAACTCAGGATTTTCATAGAAATGTCTCATCAGGTAGGAAATAAGCCAAAAAAGACACCATTAAAAATCAAAATCACATGAGTCTATGGAAAATCCTCTCAAACAAGTCTTACCCAGGTACGTGAGGACAGAATTTTGGAAAAAGGAGATAAGAAGCTCTCTCTTCCTAGGTCTTTGCTTGGCATAGAGCAGAGCTGTGGGCAATCACAGCCTACATGTAAATGAATTGCAATTAACAATAACTTTTGCTCATAGTAATGGTCATTATAAAAGTCCATCAAACCCAGGGGAAGAGCAGATAAAGTGGTGACACAATTGACACCGTCACGGTTAAGAACATGATATCAGAACTCAGAAAGATCAGACTCCTTGTTCAGTCCACTTTGGTTGCACTTTAATATCCAAATTCACTTGTGGATTCCCAATAGCCCCAAATGTCATTCAAACACTGACAGCCAGCTGCTATATCAAGGTAGCCTAACAGCCCATGTATTTATTAAACATTTTGCTTCACATTTTATTTCTGTCAGACTTAATCTCTACCACCACAAAGAATTCCTCCAGCCCCACATTTGAAGAAAATACAGTCTTCCCAGTGAGTGAAATTAAGTAAGTTCCTGTGAGCTGTTGCAGGTAGTGCTAAAGAAACAGAGGTGTTTGCAGGGAAGGCAGGAGGGCTGGTAGGAGGGAGGCAGGCAAGGGAACACGGCACTGCCTTTGCCCCCTCTTGCAGCCCCACCACACTGGCCAGACTGGCTCCCACAGCTGTTTGCTACACACGTTGCACACATGCTAACGCTGCATAGGCTGCAACGTGGAGAAATGGACAAATGAAGAAAACGTGCAAAATGCAGAAGGGCTAGGGAAGAAAACAGGTTTAGGGATGACTTTCTATTGGGATCTCACAGAGCGCGGTTACAGCCCTCAGTACCTGAGTGAACAGCTGAGTCCATTCCCTGCACAGCTTCTCTCTCTCCAGCTGGTTCGCCAGGCGTGGGCTGGTCTGCAGACTCACACGTTTTCTCCTCAGGTAGCTCTCCACTTACTTCCATGTTGTCAGGAGTGCCCAAATCAGATCCTTCCTCTTTCCCATCATTTTCACCATCTGTGAGTACAGGCTCAATCAGTATCTGCACCCTGCTCGCCAGGGACTTTGCTGTGTGCCTGCGCTCTTCTGACACGCTAAACTCGTTTGTAGGCGTTTCTGGCTTGAATGTGCTGCCAGACACTTCTTCAGTGGGCGACCCGGTTTTGACGGAAGGCGCTCGCACAGGCAATCTGGATTTCTTGGAGCAGCGCTGAGCCGCCTTCTCCTCCTCTGGCACTGGTGGCTTCCCATCGCTTTCACCCAGCGAATTGTTTCTTGGAACCAGGCCACCTTTGCTCTTGGCATACGTGGATCTAGGAATGATAGAAATGGAACCCTTCCATGCAGGGGCTACACAGCTTGGTTCCTCCTCGCTAGAAGACAAGGTTATTGTCCTTTTGTAGGGGGTTCTTGTTTTGTTGAAGACACCAGGTTTTTCTTCGCTGTTCTGGCCTTGCCCAGAGTGCACAGAGAGCGAGCGGCACAGCTTGAACTGCTGACCATCTGCCTCTACACAGCTTGGGTCCTCTGGCATGTGTCCTACCATCGCAGAGTCTGCTCCCTTCTCCCAGAAGTTCTTCAAGTTCTTGAAGTGTTCACGATCAAAGCCGATATCCTCCTCTTTGTTACTCATCGAGGAGATAGTGTAGTTGGCACCTTGCTTCCCAGCCTGGCTGCTCTCCCCCTCTGTGGTCAGGGGCTTGGGGCTTGCCAGCAGCTCTCTCTTTGCGAGGCTGTTCTCTGCTGACCCCATGTGATTCACCAGCTGCTCAGATCTGGGGAAAGTTTTGCTTGGTTTCCTCTTAACTGGTATCTTGCTGGCAGCATAAGTTTCTTCAGGTGGAGTTTTTGCCCCCGCTGTGGTGCCATTGGCCCCATCAACAGCCTCTCCTCCAGCCACACAGCTGAGCTGAGGTACAGCATCCTCTGAAAGTCCGGTGGGCAATGGAGACACTGCATGACCTACAACAACAACAAATGCACACAGTCTGTGCCACCAGATCACATCCTATTTCCCTGGAAGGTCTGGGCTGCAGCTTCTCCAAGGGAAACCAGGAGAATTTCCAGAAAGCATCAATATGTTCCTAATTCTTCTCCTGTTTGAGGCTCTAGCAAACACCCTTCCATTGAAGAAAGTTCTGAAAACCCCAACCCTTCTCTCTGCAACAGGACACAAAAAAACCCCACTGAGCTCTAAATTGTTGCTGTGAGCAGGGGATTTGTTTGCAGCTTTGCTTTCACTTTGACAGTTTTCCTACTAGCTATTTGCTAGGTACCAAAAATACACTACACGTTCAAGGAAGGAAAGAGAAGGTAATTTGGATCTGTGGGTTAAGAAATTGTGAGCCAAATACTCAATTTAAAACATACTGAGAGCCAGAAGAAGTTTTATCCTTTGTTGTTTTTTTTTCTTGGTCCCTGCTGCCCTGAGCATAATTCACACAAATGTTGGCAGCCCATTCTTACCTGTCAAGGTAAGAAATACTCCTTGTTATTCATTTGGACACACACAAGAAAGCATCTTGTCTCTTGCTGTTTCATGTTGAATAACAAAACCACCAATAGCTTGCTGAACAAGACCCTTACCTTTTCTAGATAAATGCAAGCTGTTTGTTGCAGCCACAAATGGACTTGCTCCAGTGTCACTCTCCGAGGAAGAGACATCATGTATGCTGGGTCTCTGGAAAACAAACACTATCAGTCTATATAAACTAGCAAGACTGGAAAAATGAATTTTATTTGAGCACAGGCGCCAGGGCAGGCAGTCTGTGGTGGCCCCACCAGTAGACACAGACTGTGTGAAGGTCCAAGGAATAACAAAACAACGTGCAGAGGCTGAGCCTGTACAACTACCTTGTGTGATGCAGAGAGTGGGACAGGAAGTCTCGGCTTCGGTTTTGGCAAGATTTTATGCTCCTCTGGGGCATCAAGAGCAGGTGTGCTGGATCTGTGGGACAGGAGAAAAGCTTCAGCAAGGAGATCAGTGCTAGTGATGTGCCTGGCAGGGTGGTGAGGCAGCCTTCACCAGTGGCCCAGCCCTGCTCAGCTGATTTGCCACTTTTACTGGCTGCCAAAGCCAGAGACAAGGCTGCCCAGAGCTGGTGCCTTCATTTATTTTTTTGCTGCTGTTTGGAAGGACTGAGGAACATGTAAAATGACCTGAACTTAGAGTAAGGACAAGTCTCCCATGGCAATAGTACAGAACTTGCTCAACAAAACCAATGGTGTCAACTTCTAGGTTTATTCAGACTTTCCCCTTCTGGGCGAAAACCTTTGGGAAAAACACAAGAAGCAGCAGTGCCAGAAGAGCCCAAGAGCCATGCAGGAGGGAAATGTGTTTCCATGCTATGGCCCAGGAAGGAGCAGGCCATAGCATCTAGTTCAGGTCAAAGGCATAACCAGATTGGTGGAGGATTTAGAAACTACAGGAATCATTATTAAAACAACAGTTAGGGTAAAACTATAGGATAGGATATAAACCTCCATGCTTGGATTAGCAGTTAATTACTAACTGCCTGGTAGATAAATAGAAGAAACACATATCACATATCACTTGACCATTTTTGGGAGTGTCTAGTGATGACTGCCCTCTAGATGGAGAACAGCAGTCAAGCTGGTGATTTCAGATAAGTAAGTTTTGTGCTTAGGGTTGAATGAGAAAAACAAAGCTAAATTTTCAGGATTTAATCAAACTCCAGAAAAAAACATTAGGACAATTGCTGTGTAGGTAAACCAGGAGCATCTACAGCTTGTTGACTCTGGATCCTTCCTTAAGCAACACCCAATGATTAGCTGCAAGGTCTGGAAGTGTCAAGGCCCATATTTAACTGGAGCAACTGCCATCTGTGAAGAACGATCAGTCATTTTGCTAACAAAAGTGCAAATGAGATGGGAGCAACAATAAATGAATATGTTAATATTTTAATGGCTTCTACATAGTCCACAAATAGTGAGTGAGGTCACTGACTGGCTTGGAGCGCTTTTAGTGGGTGTTTCTGCTCAGTCAGCACAATGTGAAATCCTAACAGGCCTTGATGGAGAGTGCTGAGCACTGGACACAGTGGTTGGCACTAGCAGGAAATGAGTAGTTTCCTCAAACAGTTCATTTTGTTAGTGCTGCTCCATGGCAAAAATTAAACAAACAAAACCATAATTACTTTGAAAAACTAACCAGAATATCCTGACATTAGAGACAGCTTCCATTTTACTGAGTCCTTATCAAATCATGCAGGAAAAGACCTGTCTGGGATAAGTGCATTAGCACTTGATTATTAGGGGAGGATTGATATTCTGATAATCCCAGGAAAAAGGATTTTTAAAATATCCTATATAACCTATTACTTATACATTCTTGGAAACTTACTTAAAGACCAGAATTTAATGGGTAGCATTCAATTTTCATTAGAATGAAGAACAGCAGCACTCACTTCTCCTCTCCTGCACCAGCAGTATGCTCAGGGAAGGCAGGACTCAGAGCAGCTTTGCTTTCCAGACTCGTCCGGATGTGCTCGTTGGCCTCATCTGTAATATAACAGAGACAATCAAGGAATGCTATTTATTTAAACTTGTAAAGGTCGGTGTGTATTGTTTGGGGAAAGAAAAGGCTTGTTAAATGAATCTCCAGCACAAACCCTGGGGATGTACCAGGAGATGGCTGATGGATCCCACAGGTCCAAGAGGCCAAAGCAGCTGCCTGATCCCTGGCTCACGCCAGCAGCTGCCGCACCGCTGGGACCCTCCCCGGGACACTGCCACGGGTCAGCACAGCTAATCCATACCAGGATTTAAAATCAGCCATTTCCTGTTTTGACTCAAAGTCATCCGATCTTAGCAAACAAAGGAGGAGGCCAATACAGTTAATGAGGAGAACCCTGTTATTTTTACTGGCACAAGGCTCAGCTATGTCTTCTAAGCTCTCAAAGACCCTAAAGAAAAAAACAATAGAAGACGGTAACCTTCAGAGCAGCCTGCAGGGAATAAAGTTGCTTTAAGACATTTTGTTGGCAAATAGGCTTTCTTGCTCCTGCAAAACCAAAAGGATTAAACTCTCAAACAGTGAAGAAAAACTAGTCAACAAAATCTGCACCTGTTTATTCACATACAGCTACATCTATCTCAAAGAGTCCACCTACCTGTTAAAAAAACTGCCAAATCTCTTCAGGATATATTTAATTACACAATAAAATCAAAGGCTCAGAGGATTCAGATGTGACATTAAATAATATAGCCTTGCTTGTTATCTGGTTAGAAAACCAGTAAGCCCGAGAGCAGATCAGTCCTGTGGTATCAATGTCACACCAGTGCTGCCCATGTGGTTCTATCCAGCACCAGCACAGTCAGGCCAGGACAACAGGGCTATCCAAAGATGGAGCTTCATTCCCCCTTTCTGCAGTCCCATGGAGAGAATGCTGCAACTCTTCCTCCCTGCCCAGCACCTGACCCTGAAGGACAGGAGACCACAGCAGGTGTTGCTTGGGGCTGTATGTGTTAGGACCACACATCTGGCACAGGCATGAATTGGCAGCTGGGTGGCACCATGATTTCTGCAGCTGTGGGAAGCCCAGGAATCACTCCTGCTGGGAGACGAGTCTGGTTGTGTAAGAATGAGCCACGTTTCTGAGAGAGGCATTGTGTTTTATCCATGTAAATACAGATGTGCAAAAGGCATCATTGAACATTGTTTTGGGAGAGACAAGGTGTGGCATAGCTGGTGGCATGTGCAGGCCATGTCACGTGCAGACCAGGCACACTGAGGAGTGTCTATTTATACAGTGAGCCACATCATCCTCTTCTACCCCAGACCCAAGGGAGGGAGATGGCAGCAGATAGCTGCTCTGGAAGTAGAGGAACAAAACACAGAGCTCCAACATTTTCCCTCTGCCTGTCGTGGCTGAAAAGACCTTGTCAACTAAAGACTGCATTCATCTCACCTCACTTCCAAAGACATTGCGCCATAGTTTCTTTTCACTGACACTTTCCCCTCAGACAAGGCTCCCCCAGAGCAGCTAGCAGAGGCAGCAAGGGGTGGTCACTGCCTCCCCTCCAAACCACTGCCCTTCAGATTGCTCAGCCACTGGCACAGCTATACCTGACTTGTATAACCGCAAACAAAAAGGTTATTAGAACAGTATTATCCATCAAGAGAAGCAAAATACCTTTGCTAACTTTAGGATGAGACAGAATAAGAAGCAAATTCCAACAGAAATTAGTAGTGGCCTGAACAGTTAAACTTGTCCATAAATATATTTATATGTGTACAGAGAGAGCAACATCTGCTCTGACACTTTAGCTGCTTCACTCATTTCCTATCACTCTAAACCAAAGACACACAGCACTTGGAGAAAGCAGAGCTAACCATGCCATCACCTTGGTGGGAAAATAAAATGGTCTCCTAGATGAATTTCAGCTCTCATCCATTGCACACAAACTCAAGGAGAAGTTATCACCAGATTCATCTATCTGTGCTGCTCTGCAGACTGCAATTTAAATATAGGGTATCTATTTTATAGATTTTTTTGCTGCCAATTACTAGTGTTTTCTATAAAAATCAAATAATTGATTATAAAAATCAATGCCAGCTGTGAGGACCCTTAGGGATCCATGCAGGCATTCCTTCTGAAGGTTAACATCCTCCTCCAGAAAAGGTCACTGGGCATTTTCCTGTGCAGTTACAATTGTCACCCCTTCCTCAGCCTGTTTTCCATGCAAACAGAATCCCAGCAATTATCTCAGCTGGGCTCTTCCATGCAGGAATTTTCTCATTTCTCACTTCCTAACACAGTCATCAAACACTTAAATCAGGATTAACAGCCCTGGAGTCACGAACATGTTACACTAATTTGGCTAAATGAGCATACACCCCTTCATCACCTTGAAAGCTGACAGAAGGTAAATGACTCTGATCTTTCCAGGAGGAGAAAATAAGGTGTCAAGATGGCAAGCAAAGGCCCTTATCTCATCTACTGGAGGTTGAATGTGAGCAGCAAAAGTGTTTGTAGAGGGGCCATTCACTGACAAGTCAGTGAGAGCAGTGCTTGTCCTCAAGTGTAAAGGGAGGCAATCTGTACAGTAATGACTGCAGGGGCCGAGTACACAGTAGGAAACCAAGGTGAAAATATTAGCTGCAGAATCTTGATCCTCAAACAGTGCTGTAAAACTGCAGTGGGTAAAATAAGAGCAAGGAATAAAGTCACCTTATATCTGTGCTTTACTAAAGTGAGTCTGAGAATAGAGAAAAATAGGGAAGAAAAAAAGTTGAAAAAGAGAGGGCTAAACTTAAACATAATTACTATAGTAATTTACTAACAGTTGCTTCTTCCTTCTGAAACACCATTAGTCAAGTAATACACATGCAAAGATATAACTTGCATATTACGATTATATTAATGAGATTATTTTAGATGAAAACCTGAGACCACATCTCATACGTGCACATCAGCAGTAAAAGTTAAATCTAAACGCAATTGTACTTCAAATTTGTTTTCCTGAAATGGGCTGCAATCTAAGGGTGCAGATGCCTCTGGCAAGGTAAAAGGCAGATAAATTCAATTCAGGGCTGGCCACTAGGTGGGCTGCAGAGGACAGAGTATTCAGCAGAGCAGGGCCCGAGGAGAGGGGCTGCTCAAGAGTCTGTCTCCACGCAAAGAGGGTGCAAGCACAAATAAATGCACATCCTCAAAAAAGCAGAACGTGCTCTGCAGAAACATCCAGGCAACTCGGCCAAGTTGGGAAAGGTTTTAGACGTTTTGGCATTCTGGAGGGATGACAAAATAGTAAATTTAATGACATGAAGAATCCTTAATAGGACGGATAAAAGCAACTTCATATGAAAAATGATGGACCAGTTCTGCATCAGAGGCTCCGATGAACCTGTGGTAATTGACAAGAGCTGGCAGGGATAAGTAAAAAGCAGAAAGAAAATGAGGCTCCCAGTTAGTGAAGTCCCTAGGCAGCATTTAGCTTCCCGAATATGTCCAAGTAATGTGGAGCTAAGAGGGGTATACTAAAGCCAGGCAATTAATGTTACACAGACATCCTGCCCAATGAGGCCCATCAAACAAAGGAGTGTTCTATATTGCTCCTACCCACATCTGGAAGGGGCAGCCAGGCCCAGGAAGGAGGTCTGAACTGAACTGGTGGAGATGACATCTGGGTTTTGGACAGATGGAAGATAACCCTTTACCTAACAGTAGCCTTTACTGCAAAAGAGCAGAACCAGTTATAGGGTCCTTATATTAGGGACCATGGCAGTCCTTGCTAACAGCTGTCCATCAGGCTGTCCATTTAGTCCGTTAGCTGGGAATAAACAGGAGAGGCCTTCGCTGGCTTAAAAGGCATTTTGTTTAGACTTATGTGGGGAAGAAAAGAACAGTTTCCCACAGCCATGGCTTCTCCAGAGCGGCAGCAGCCAGTGACTCACCAGCCATGTCTGAGGACCCGTGAGTACCCACCCTGACAAATAATCAAGGAGGTTTTTGTGAGACTGGGCTGCAGTCCCACGGACTTGCTGCAGAGTCAGTTGGCCTGTACTCATGTTGAGGACTGGATGTGAATCATCCCCAGTTCTGCTCTGCACAAATGTTCATCACAAAGTGTCAGCTCCAAGCTGGTTACATTTGGACTCAAAGCACCAGTCCTGCTTGTTTCACATGGGGCTGATCTATTCTCTGCCCTGAGCTGACAAATCTGATTTGATCTTCATCATGAGAGCTCATCCATATGTCTAACAACTTACAAACAAAATACATGTGCTTCGAACAGCACATCATCCCAGGCACACCCTTGCTATGGCACAGCACTCCAGGGGCCATTCAGGCCCCAAACCCCTTTTTACTCTGAAAACCACATTGTGCCTAGAAATTATTCCCATGTAAAAGGCTAGGCATGGGCCCTGCCAAGTGGGCAAGTATTCCCAAAACAGAGGCACCGCCTTCCTTTGCAGAGTTGTGACCGAGCCCACACACTAGACTCCTGTGAAAGCAGTGACTGGCTGTTTTTGTCAGACCACTCTATGAACTGGGAGCAGGTGCTTGACCCACACATATCACTCTGATGCTATAAACTGCCCTACATCATCCCCTTTTTGATTCTTTTACAAGAAATTATATCAGTGACCTCTGATAAACAGACATTTTGGAAGAAAGAAGGTGAAGTGAGGAAAAGGCAATTAGTGCACATAGCTGCTAAACGGCTTTTGCCTTGATCCTCTGACACTGTAATTTTTCATCTGGGCCCTGATTTTGATAATCAGGGGTTTTTTTCTAACACTGAAAGCTTAGCTGATAATCCCCTTATCAAAACATAAAAGCTGGTTCCCAACAGGCTCCCAGTACAGGGAGATCCCATACTTAACCACTTTTTTCTGGTCCATTAACTTGTTTTATTAAGAAGCACACTAAAATACTTACTTTCTAGTTTGCCCTTCTTTCTTCTAATTGATGCTCGAAGTAGATCTGGCCCCTCTAAGTCTTCCTGAAACCGTTTTGCCTTCACTTCTGAAAACCATTCACCTGTCACAAACTTCTTTTTCTTTTCATCCTTGATGGAGCCTTCTATTCGCCTGAAAAGCAACAAGAACATTACACACCAAAAAGATCTCCACAGTTTCGATGTCCTCTGAGATACCTCTGTAACAATCATCTGTATGGTTCACCCATCTTGTACTACAAGGGATCCAAAGATCATTCTCTGCCACCACAAGTGCCAAACAGCATTAAAACAAAAGCCGAGGTATTCTTTATCTGAAATGGGAGCAGTGCCTTTTAAACACAGGCCTTCACCTCTTCCAAATGTTACAAATCCAAGCTGGAGTCACCTGGCAGGGCAACCCTTCCATTTGCTTCACAGCCCAGAGGGTTTGGGAAGGGCTGGGGCTGTTTGCAGGTCATGTACTTCTCATTTTTATTTCTCTATTATTTCTTTACACATTGCAAAGCCTTTTGATCAAATCTGATGCAAACTGTGCAAATAAATAATGTTATTTAGGGGGGCAACCTGTCCCTGTAGCATTCCCCCCAGACACTGCTCCTCTCCCTGCTTCTCCTGCCATGCCACTTTCGGCACTGAAACAGTTAGCTCTCCTTCCCGAGCACAGCTTCTCCTCATGTAACAAGCTCAGGCACACCCAGGGCTGCTTTTTGGCACTTTGCTAGCTTGCACTTTTAACCCTCCTCTGGTTATTTTGTTTTTACACCACAGCTTGCAGAATTAGCTGCCTTTCAGAGGGCACTGCCCCACCACAATTCACCGTCTCTGCAAGACCTGAGGAAAATTCCCATTTTGGTCCCACTCTCAGCAGGAAGAGGGGGCAAAACCCAGATAACCATGCAGCCCTGAAGGGTGACACGATACCTGAAGGCCAAAAGGAAGCAGGTACAAGATAACCAGGCTAAAGGCTCCACAGGTAGTGTTGGGGGCCCAGCAGACTGACAGCCAGGTAGCTACACAGCTCCCATCTGGATGTGGGCTGCAACTGCTCCTGGGAGGGTCTTGAAGTGCTGGGCCAGAGGAGGTTTTAATCTTGTTTTAATCTTGTTGACACTGGATCAGTGTAATGCCATTGACTTAATTTTCCCCAGCAGGCAGGTTGTTTTGGAGGCAAATGTGTCCACACTTGCCCCAAAGGTCTCATTGATACAGCCATACTGACAGCAAAGGGCACTTGTCATCACCCTGTTAGGATCTAACTTGTTTAGTTTCCAAATTAAAGCCTTCTGTCCAACATCTTCCAAAGAGAAGTGAAACCAACTTGAAATAATCCAAACACTCTTTTCCTCAAACCTCCCGTGCAGAGCAGAAATTTTACTGCGTTTCAGCAAAAGAAAAAATTTAAAAATATAAGAAAACCTTTCTGAAATCAAGTTTCAATTCATGGGAAGTACATGCAGACACACACTCCTCAGACCCAAGCTGCTTGTGTGCCATCGTCAGCTCTGCTTCCCCATCTCTAACCCCTGAGCATTGGCCAGGGTATGAAGACTTCCCAGAGCCTGCTGCAAAGCTTCCTACTCCCCGTCAAGCCTTCAGCCTCCCTTCTATATGGAGCTTACTCTTTTTTGGCTCAACAGGAAGTCAAAGACTCGCATCCTTAAGAACAGTAAACTGGTGTAGTGCCAACCACGCTCACTGAACTACTAATTTCTTGTTGTGGAGAGCTTGGTGCCAGCTTCCTGAGCCTGATGCATACTGTCAACCCAGATGGTCTAATGGCTAGCATTTAAAAAGTGACAGCAGCAACAAGCAATCCTGATCAACCAGACCTGAGCTCCAGGACGGCCAATGGCAAGTGAGCTGAACTGAGAGTGGTTCCTGGCTCTGCTGCAGCTCCCTGCAAATCTTGGGCAGATCATGTAGCCTCTCACTGCCCCTCTGTCTGCATGATGAGTGCTGCATACACACCCACCTCAAGGAGCACCATAGGGACACAAAAGAGAGATGGGGATGTAAAGACTCATTTAAAAGCACTCTATGGGATTTCTGTATTACTGAGTGAGGAAAATGAGGCAGCAGCTACTGCCCTCCTCAAACCTCTGACATTGAGAAATCAGCATCTTCTCCCCCAGAGCAGGAAAGCCATGATTTCCCTTGGCATCTCTAAGGGATGCTGATTACCTCAAAAGGAGAGTCCAGCCCAGTGATCCTGCAGGAAGAGGACAGCAGCGACAGCATGATGGCTGAGGAAGCAGTAGGTGCAATTAAAAGATCAGGATCTGAGCAAGAAGGGCAGCACTGCTGCAGCCTTCATCTCTCCTTGTTGCACATATATACACATGCTCCCCTCTTTAAAAGAAATAAAAAATCTCCCCCATGAGAAGCTCACATCCTGCTGATAATGCACATGCTCTCACCTGATGCGATCCCCATCCTTCTTCTTCAGCTCTGCATCTCTCTGCAGAACCTTCATCAGTTTCTCATACTCCTCCTCAGTCAGGAAGCTCAAGTCCAACATCTTCACTGCACTCTTCCTCAGTCCTTCAGACAGCTGAATCAACAACACACCAGGAACTAATCCAGCCCAGACTACCGCAATGCCATGGGCAGTCCCTGTGCAGCAAGTCCTGGAGCAAGATGTGGCTAGAGATAAAGGACTTCACAACAGCATGGCTTGGGTGGAAGTTCTGTTAGCACCTGGACTTGCACTTCCAGGCTCTTTGCTGGCACATTTCTCAGCCCTGCATGCCTTCCCCTGCCAGGAGAATTCTCTCAGCAAAAATACGCTCCTTTGCTTTTCTTCAGACACAGTCACAGCGATTGGGAAGCCAATGTCAATCAAACAGGGAAGCACAGGAAGGAGCGAGCTCGCCGCCCGCCTCAGCCGCCTCAACAGGAACAGAAGATCATCTCACCACCAGCAACCCCAGCACCTCTGGCATGCGCTGTCTTCACAGGGACGTCTGCCTGCGTGGAGTTCAAGCATCCCTGCAAAGAAATAACACCGAAATGCCTTTTATGATAAGCACGACATATGGCAACCGAATGTGTACATTGGAGGTTTTTATTTGTTCTTCCACACAAGTTCCAAAACAAGCTGCTCTACTTTCCTCCCCATCCTACAGCTCCTCATGCAGTGTTAACCTAACCAAGGCAGTATTTTATTTTAGCCGTTCTCCTGCTAACAGGTAAACAGTTGCCTCAGCATGCTACAAGCAAAATATGCATACAAATTATCAAATTCCTTACTTGCTTTATACCCCCATTTTTCTTTTCCTCACTTCTTTCTGCCCTAAATGAGATGGAGGATAAGCAGCCAACCTTTGTAAAGCAATCAGAAAATGACAGAACAGCAACTTGCAAGTGTTATTGTTACAGGTTATGCTATAAAATACCAGGGGCTGCTCATTTTCTAATACGCATGCACTTTGTTTTATGCTGCACTGCTATTTGCTGTTCAAACAGTTCAGGTGCAGATCACTCAGTGTTTCAACAGACACTGAAAAAGGCCAGAGGCTGCAGGGCGTGGAGGAAGAGTAAATCGTGTTACTTTGCTACTTTATTCCTTTTTGGCTCTCCTCGACAACTTGAGGGCAATAAAGCAGGCTGCTGAGGGAGCAGAAGTTCTGCTCATGCCCATGCAGGCAGTTTCTAGCTCACCAGATGGGCTTTTTTCCACTATTTCAAAGCCAGTCAGCTGACTGTGGGTTTCATCATACTTGGCTTTTTCTCCCAAAGCCACGGCCTTGGGAGCCAGGTCATTAAAAATTACTGACTTTTAAAAATTACTCCCAGGTTCCTCAGAGCTGGAGTCTACATAATTTTTGTTCCTCTTCTTTGGACTGTTTCCACAAGGTGCACCTCTTCCTTCAACTGGCAAATCCAAAGTTGAGCACAAGTATTTCAGCTGAACTTTGCTCATTTGACATAATTTCAGAGATCTGTGTTATTTTATGGATTATACATTCCCAAATGTTTGCCTTTTTCATAATGGTATAGCATGTTAGAAGAAGCAATGGGTATCTGACATCTTAATGTTTACAATTAAACATCACAGAACACTGCATTAAAAGACTCATAAAAATCATTGCTATAAAAATCTGTAATTATTCAGAAATATTTTTTTTGGAGGGAAGGAAACTTGAAATTTCCTATTTCTTTGAGTCAAGTATGGCTGTGGTCATCACACAACAATTACAGCCTTTAACATCTGAGAAACTATTGATACCACTTTAAATAGTTAAAAAAGAAACAGTACCAAAACCCCTGATGAATCTCTACCGTTTAAGCCAGTTTCATCCAGCTTGGTATGGCACTTCCATGGTTGGTTCCAACCACCTACTTTCTCTGGCTCTCAGGCACAAACCTACTTCTACAAAGACATTTACAGAAATTTCTGTGACAGATTTTATTTTTTAAAAAGTATCTAGAGAAACAGTTTTCACAGTATTTGCTTCTCTAGAGCTTCTATTTATTTTTAACAAACCCATGACATGTGGGCTGAAAGTACTTCATAAAACATTTTCAGCAAAGACTCATATTTATTCAACAGTATGGTAGTCAATTAGACAAAGAATAAAGGCTACTTCTTTGCAAATAGCCTTTTCTTCCCTGACAATATTTTCTCTTACTGAAATAGTTACACTAGGAGGAAAAGGTTAACAGAAACTCAATAGCCAACTCCTTCTTTTGTTCTAAATAGTTAAAAATCAAACCACTTGGCATGCTCCCTATGGGAAAGAAAGCTGGTCCAGAAGACTGCTCCACCAGGAGGTTTTGCTGGCAGCCTCAGCAGCTGCCAAGTTTTGGACCCAGGCCTGCAGGAGTAAACAAGGCTGGGAAAGGATCTCCATGGGTGGCATGGCGACAGGGTTGTGTGACTTGAGCCACTGCAGTCTCTGACGGGTGAACAGTGCTGCTGTGTCTTGGATGCTGCAGAGCTTGAAAGAGAACCCCACCATTAGCCACCCAGGCAGGCAGCAATACGGGGGAGCATGGTACTTGTTCACTTGGGTCTGCAACTGAGATGTACAGTGTGTTACCAGGCAGGCACACTGCACTGTGCCTAACCACCCCTGCTTCCTCAGACTGCTTAATCCCAGAGCTCACTCTTCCATGCCTTAAGCAACACCACACAGCTTGGACTTGCTTTGTGACTTGCACATAATCCTCTCCCCTCTCAAAGCCTTGTTAATAAACAGTTCAGAGACCACAGGGATGATGCAGTACCAACACCCACATCCACAGATCTGTAAGCAAGCCAGGACCCCTGTGGGTCTCACATGGAAGGGACACTTTCTGCACGTCCTGCCCAGCCCTTGCCTTGCCACCACTGCCAATGACAGGCAAGGGAAACACAAAATCCTTTGTAGGGCAATGATGGGAGCCATAGGGCAGTGTTGGGGCAGATAGAGCCCTAGACTAGGACCTCTTAAGGGCAAGCACCTTTATTAGCCCACTGATGTAAATTGGATTTGGACAAACTGTGACAAGTAGAAAAGTTGCACTCGCCTTCCCTCTGACCCATGGGAGATCCCTCCTAGGTCAGGATTCCTCTCTAACAACAGGAGCAAATGGACATATGATGAATTGTTTGTGTCTGGATTAGCAGCTTCTGTTTACAGGCTGGTGCAAACTGTACAGAGCAAACCAGAGCTGCTCTCGGGCACTGCAGCACCACAGTGCCCCTGTGCAAGGAGAGCAGCCCTGCTGGGTCCTGCCACTTGTCACAACAAAGCAGATGGGCTAAGCAGATTATCATGGCTACAGGAAAGACCCTAAATCTGAACAGAGGAGCACACTGGATGTCCAAAGGAATTCTTCCCTCTAACTGTTTTTCTGGGGAAGAAAACATCACAAAGATCGACAGGCACACCCAGCCATGTTGACAAATGCTGGGTGTGGAGACAAGCAGAAGCATGATCCATCATGTGGCATAACTGGCTGCATCTCTTACTCTGATAGCTTTTGATTTCTTGTGATCACCTCCCCAAGAAGGAGCAAATGCTCCAGTCACTGTAGAACATCCGTGATGGTATTTTATGCTACTGTGCAGCTTGTCAAACCCAGAGTGCAAGCAGAGGTGGAGAAGTGAGGCCTGTTCCATTAAAATAGCATGCTGGGATGTTTATATCTTCTTTCTCAACAGATTTTCAGTGTTCAGTTTAAAAATACAGGAAAATACAGACTGAGGCTCCCTGTAACACACTAGTTCATCTTCAACAAGGGCAAACAGCACATGGCTAGAAAGCACAGCAAGCCATCCTGCACTCCAGCTTCCTGCAAGATCAGGGCAGGGACTCCCCAAAACAGGAGCAACGTATCTGTATTTCACAGATTTTTTAAATTGCTTTCTGAACTCACATTTATTTCATGCATTTGCAATATCCTCAAAGCCTTACAGCCACAATAAGCTTTAAATGCAAAAGTATCTGCCTTGTTTTGTGTTGACCTGCCGCTTTCTTGCTTCATTTAATATCCCCAAGCATTTTATCTGAAAGCCCAGTAAGGATTACTCTGCATTCACCTACTGCATGTTGCTCACTTTGCAGACCCATGTCACAGCTATGGTTCCTCTTCCAGAGGAAAGAAATTTGTTGTTTGCCCATTCCAAGTGTTACTCAGGGAGCTCTGATAATTCCTCACCCCCTTCTCTGCCCTCATCTAGTTTACTACAGACCTGCTTAGCAGTGCTTAGGTGCAAAACCACTTTTCCCAACCACTGCAACCCCTGGTATCGTCACCTGCAAGACTGGTTTTGCAGTGCTAGGAGAGGTATAAGCCATGCCTGGCTGCAGCTCTGCAGCCAGAAGGGAGACAGGCAATACCAGCCTGTGGCACTGCTGATGGCTGTGCCAACCTCGTGGAGAGAGGAGAGCTCTGATCACCTGCAGAAACGCTAAGAGGGATACTAATAACAGGAATAACCCTTCCCTCAGTCAGCTGCATTAACTGTGTACCAGCAAAGAGCAGTGCTACTTGGGGACAAGAGCAGTCTCACATTTTGGAGCAGACAGGTGTCCAGTGTGGATCCAGGGAGACTCGTGTTTACCCCAGCCAAGACACGGAAATGTTTGACCTGTCCAAAACTGCCCCTTGCCCCCTTCAGCAAAGCATTAAGCAGCACTGTGACATGCATTCCCCAAGCACCAACCCAACATCCAGCAAGTGAAGGGGCAAATAAACACCAACCTTTTCCAGCAGCAACAGGGCGTTCAGACAGCCTGCAGCCTGGACAATGCTAATTTCCTCGTTCCTCAGTGCTCTGCAGCGTGTCCCCACACATGTGATCAAAAACCAACTGAGTTACCCTTGCTGACAGTCCTGCCTCCTGGCTGCACAGCTCATGGCCATGCAGCTGCACCCTCAAGGAAAAGCTTGAGAAGGTGTAGATCTGGAGTGCCTTCCAAAATAAATAGTTTGACTAATCCCATGTAGGGTTTCTGCACCAGCAAGAGCTATTTATAAAATAAGGTATGTTACAAACTTCTTGCCCAAATTAATATATCCTCTCTCTTC